ACATTACAAGGGTAGTACCCACAGGTCACGTCTCTTTCATTAGGATGGTTCGAGTCAAAGAGCTGTCAACTTTAAAGGTCATAAAACCCATCAAAAACAAAACATCCATGTTTTGCCCAGCTCCTTGTTTGAGGCCAAAGCCACGCTTTTTTAAAAACCACCAAGCACATTCGCCTACCGCCGGTTCCGATCCTTCAGACCACATTCATGTTCGATTTCCGTTAGTTCTGAATATATTTTCTGCTCAGTTGCTCGCCGTGACTAATCGAAACATTTCTGGCCTTAAACCTGTCGGAGTTCCTTGCAGCTAATGTCTCCTTACCGTACACTGACGCAAGCTTTAGGGTCAGAAGAATTAAGGAAATGGTTCCAAGAGAAGCTCTAGACTGTCTAACAAATTCTCTTTGACAGCTCTGTAGGAAAGGTGTGGACAACAGTTGGAAAGGTGTGGAGAACAGTTGGGAGAATTGGGTGAAGAGAGTAAACTTGTGAAGTTGTTGACCTGAATACATGAAATTTGAAATCAAGAATTCTAACCAATCACAACAGCCATACTCATAGGCAAAACAAAACAAAAACAAAAAAATTCTGTCTTTTCGACTGAGCCTTTCTTCATCAACTCTCACCATTACTTCACCCCAATTCTGAGCGCACAGCAAAGTACCTATTTCAAACTGATGTAGAAAAAAGAGTTTCGCAGGGCAAGGCCACGACAAAACCAAAGAGACCACTAAATCTATCTTTAAGATAAATTTTCTTCTCGTTTCTTGCTCATTTTTGTGCAAAGTTTTCATACAAGTTGTCGATAAACTTTCAGGATGCAAAGTAAGTAAAACAATGCCAACTACGTTGAAACAACTCTTCGTAATTTTTTTTTTTCAATTTCAAAGTTTGTTCAGTTCATTTCATCTCTTTTCTTCTTCTCCTTCAGTCTGTTTGGCGAAGTATTTCTTCTTTTCTGTTGGATCTGGAATGATCGTCTCTTTACCAGGCTTCCAGCCAGCTGGACATACTTCACCATGTTTGTCAGTATATTGGAAAGCCTGAACTAAACGTAAAGTCTCGTCGACTGATCGGCCCACCTGCAAAAGAAAACAATTGAAATAACTAGTTTAAATCAACTTCTCTAGGTAACTAAGTTATAAATAGCACTCTACACTTGATGAAGCCAACGACCGCGAGAGAAAAAAAATTGAGATTACACAACGAAAGCCTGTTATAACTCGGTAATTACAATTCCCAAAAAGCTTTTTTTCCTTTCTTGTCCAAATTCAAGATCTAGATCTCAATAGTTTTAAATGAATAAATAAAAAACGCCACGCAATTCGAGGAAGTGGACCCCCATCACTTAACTATTTGATTATTAGCTCGATAAATCTACCTCGTGGATGAACGCGAGACCCAAAACGCTATTTATGGAAGGGCTAATCAACTTTTTAAGTGTATCAAGAACGATTAACTGTGGTCGCAAACAGCTCCACGTACCTTGCAGTATACAGTCACAGTACGATTACAGTCATACAGGTACAGTTAAAACATACCGGAAGGTCATTCATTGTGATTTGTCGTAGAGTCCCTTTGTCATCAATAATAAATAGACCTCTGAAATATAACATACATGTAAACGTAGTCAAGAGCCTTAGAAGAATAAGAATATTCTCAGTTTAATCAAATTGCCACCTGCCTAACTATCAGACCTTATAAGCCCCCCCTCCCCCCTCACAAAAAAAAAAGATAAAAATGAAAACACCTGACTATGAAACACACTTCAATATAGGAATCAGGTCTTTTTTTAACAATGAAGTGTATCAACCAATAACGCAAGATAATACCAGATGGCTGCTCAAAACTGGATATCTTGATCCAGGATAAGAGCACAACAGGAGAGATGTTCAGCTTTTATAAATCAAGAATACACTTTTTATTGATATACATGGCGCTAAAGAAGTGATCATGAATATCAGTCATAATTGTCATCATTACCATCATCATATTGAAAAATTTAATGGTTCTTTATTCTTTAACGATCAGAGCAGATGAACACTGCACACAATATAAAAACAACGGCTTACAAACACAAAAAGTCTGAAACATTAGGAACAGATACCCTCACCTTAAGGTGTGGCCTTCATTTTCAAGAAGTACTCCATAATCTTTAGCAATTTGGTGGTTTAAATCAGAGAACAGAGGATATTTAAGCCTTCCCAGACCACCCTCTTTCCTTGGAGTGTTGATCCTGGAAATGAAAGAAATGAAAGGAACTTAAATGCTGCCTATGGTAACCCTAACTACTGCTTTTAAGAAGTAGTTAGTAAAAAATTAGTAAAAAATTGCTAGGAATTCTTAAAATTCTACTGGTATGAGAATCCTTTAATTATTGTCCTTAAAACAATGGAGAACACTGCTTTGGTACATTGTTTTGTTGTAATTACCCATGCAATCATTCAAATGTTGTAACCTACATGACTATAAATTGAAATAATTTAACACTGTACACAAACATATAGAAAGTACACAACTTAAAGCTAACTGAATTTTGTGGGAGATTTTTTACCAAAACTAAGAAGTTTTTCCACGTTACTTCCTACCATTCTAGAAATATTAAAGGCCCACTTTGACCCTTAATGCATTGTGAATATTCCCTAGTTGAAAATTACAGGCCTAGTGAGTCACAGTAAGCGATGGGCCAATCAGAAATGAGATTATTAAATATTACAAAACAATAACAAATGGCAGGAAAGCCAAATGGGTGGAACTAGGCATTTACTACAAAATGAAGTTACTTTGGTTTGCTTTTAGTTTTGTTTTAAAAACTCTTAAATACTTTAAAGTTACAAGTTCATATAAAATTTAGGATCAACTTACCAAGCTAAATGGGTAAAAACTGAATCTACTGAGCAACCAACAACTTCTGTGTTGATTGCCCTGAACTCTTCAATTCTGTCACTAAATGCGATGATCTCCGTTGGACAAACAAAAGTGCTGTGGGTGACATCAAATAGCTGTTTTTAGTAATGATTCAAATTAAAATAAAGGGTTTCAAAGCTGATGTTTTGAGAGTTAGCCCTTCACTCTGACGAAGGACTAATGCTCAAAACATCAGCTTTGAAACTCTTTATGGAGGCCAATTTACTTTGTAAACTCAGCCGATAAAACCCAAATTACCTTGATACTCCCACTGATGCATCACTACAGTTTCTTTAGAAACTTAGTTACTCCCTTTATTCAATTTAAAATGACATGCATACATTTAATGAAACCGTTATTGCCAGTCAGCTGGAGGACAATGTTGACTTAAACTGTGGCAGTTGCAGAGAGAAAAATGGATGAGTTGGGAAGATAGCATGCAGGTAGTAAAGTACAGCATGGTTTCATGAAAGTAAAGCATACAGTAAAATCTAATACTCACAAGTCAAGGGGATAGAAAAAGAACACCAGATATTTTCCTGTGGAAGAAAAAGTGATATAACAAAAGTAAGTTGAATAAACTGGAGGGGAATGAAAAATCATCGACAAATGACAAAAACTTCACAATAATTGAGCAAGGGGAAGGTTTATAAAAGAGAAAATGAATATTTAAACAATACGTTTGATTGGATGCATTTGCTCTGAACAGGTTACTCTACTAAATGCGCCTCATACTTCTCCTAGCAGGTAATGCCCAGTAACAAATATCAGTTCATTCAAGCCCAGGCAATGGCTGATGTTTATATACCCAGTAATACCACATGCATGAACAAAAACAAAAAGGAAAATCATTTATAAGCATTACAGTGTCAAACTGCTCCTGATAGAATCACCAGTAGCCATGAACAAAATCTTTACAAAACTTTGAATAGACTTCACATGAGGATTTTGCTTCTTAATGAGCACAGAGACACATCTTAATTACCTTTGAAATCAGTGATCTTCAACTCTTTAAACTCTCCATTTACAACAGCAGTCCCTTCCCAGTGTGGTGCTGGTTTAGAAACTATGCAGAAAGAGATTCCCAGGTTACCATTTTAGTACCCTTAAACAAATTAACACCAAAGAGCTGTGTAGCAAAATGGATCTCTGATCCTGTTTCACACACAAATTTTACCCATTTGACGTCCATGTGAATAAGCAGAAACAAAAACAAATGAAACTTGTACAAAAACTATGCAATGAAAAAATGAAAGTCAACAAAGGTTCCCTTTCATAAAACTCTCATGTTAAAAAATGTTATCTTCAATTTGAGTAAAAATCACTCTGAAAATAGCCAAGTAATTAACTATTAGGGTAAATGTACACTGTATATTTAATTAGTATAATTTCAGAGCTGAGCAAAGAGTTCCCAGCAGTCTGATTGGTCGAGTGGTTACTTATATGACACTATATAAACTGCTCCACACGCTTTATATAAAATGTTAAAATAAAATGTTAATAAATGTTAAAATGTTATGATTTTAGAAATTTCTGTGTTGTTCAGCTCTGAAATTATACTAAAACAATTATTTGCCTCAGGTTCAGTGAATATTGTCGAATATTCCCCTCGACTTTGTCTTGGGGATAATTTGATGATATTCACCTCGCCTTTGGCGAATAATTGTTAAATAATACCCTCAAGTTGACATGTTTTACAATTGTCATCACCTGTTGTTCGTCTCTCAACCCTTTAACTCCCAAGATCGGATTATTAATTCTACCTTCTAGCTGCTGCAAGTTTACCAGTAAACGAGTTATGAGAATTTGGTGTTAGATCAAGAAAACAACTCCTGCCTCATAATTTTGAGTATTCTCATTTCCTGTTTGAAGAATAATGTTTGAATTTTAGAGGGAGAAGTTATATGTTACCAGTAACCACTTCTGGGCATTCAAGGGTTGATGATAAAATGGGCTCCATGTTTAAAGTGATGACCATTTGAAATAAAGTTTTAGTCACCAGAATATAAAACAAGTCTTAAAGCCTTTTTAAACCACTTTTCTCTTTGAAGTCCAAAAATGTAATTAATTTTGTTAGACTAATGCTTCCAGAACTTAATCTGTATTGATTGAGAAGTTTTTTTGGTATTTAAGTATACTAAAGTCCTGACATGTCACTAAAAGTTGTCATTTTTCAACCAATAACCTTTATGAGAGCAGATTTAGTGAGCCATCGTCAGAGAATTGAGAAATATGATTTTCAAATAAATGACATTCTTAAATATATGGCAACCTTGAGTGAAGGCTGTGATACTAGTGCTGGAAATCTGACAAACACCTTTACTTTTAATCAAGGGAGCAGAAAGGGTACAGATTTAATTTTTTTTTAAAAATTGACTTCTTAAAAATTTCAAATTCCACAAGAAGTCAATTAATGACTTGTCAAGTCCAAAATGGAGACTGCAGACTTCAGACTGGGTACAAAATACAGGCTGCACCAAAATGTTTCTCGCCAGCTTAACGTACTATTTAGCACAGAGAACATTCATACCAGCATTTATTATCCAACTACACCTAGAAGAGTACAAATAACGCCAAAGACAAGTACAAATATGACGCGGTATTTGTACTCGTCTATTGTAGAGTACCGGTTAAACAGGTTTTCTCGCATCGCACAAGCGAAGAATTGGATTGTAG